AAGTACAAGAAAGAAAATGTTCTAAAATAGATTATGGCAATGAATGCAAAATTCTAATATGTTTAAACGACTCAACTGTATGATATATGGCTTATATGTCAAAAAGCTACTTTGTAAAGGCCAATATGAACTCCAACCCATTAATGTGTGTGTGTGACGTAAAACCAAATGGATACCAGAGGACAGCATAGATAGTATTCTTTTTTCAAAACAATTTTATTAAGAACTCTTACAGATACCACACCATTCCATGGTTCAATCACAAGCAGTATTGGACAATTGCTACTACAATCAGTTTCAAAACATTTTTCTTTTTGAACTTCTTGATATCAATCTCCCTTTATACACATCCCACCTCCCCCACCATACCCCCTCCCCAGGAACCCTTATTCTAGTTGTCTCTATACATTTAGAGAGCTGTTTTTCATCAAGGTTGCTATGAAATGCGTACTTCAGTTGCATGGGGTGAGGGAGGAAGTACTGTGCTAGTTAGAGGATTTTATTTCAACTGAATTTGTAAGAAAGTGTAGGGATGAAAAATAAAATGAAATACAATTTTTTTAAAAAGAAGTGTAGTGATGGAGCTCAACCTGTTCAACAGGTCACAGCCTGATGATGTCTTTCTTTTAAGAGAGACAGGGAACCCTGCCCTCTGCCCCTCTGCCTACCTGCTTGTTGGGACTCTGCCTGCCTCCAGGGGTGGCCACACAGGGGCTGCTGACCCTTCAGTGCCCAGCTGTGTTTCCTTGGATCTATACAGCTCTCTACTCAGGGGCCAGGGACCTTCCCCTCTCTGTGTCACTGCTGCAGCTATGAGACTCTGGCTGGAGTCCTGGCTAGCATAGGGCTGATGGACCTGAGTTGGGCTTGGCTGGGATGCATTCTTGATACGACGCTCTTTCCTATACATGAGTGCCACTGATTTTGTTTCTAACACAAGTATTAACGCAAAGTGTCTTTCCAATTGTGTGTCCTGGATTAAGTTTTCTTACTTTCCCCTGCCCCGGCCCCCCACCCCCTAAGGCTGCTAACTCCAAGGTCAGTAGTTTGAAACCACCTGTAGCTCCATTGGAGAAAGATAGGGATTTTTACTCCCATAAAGTTATGGGAAACTCACAGGTCAGTTCTACCCTGCCCTATAGGGCAGTGAATGGTGGTTCATAGAAGTAACCATGGTTAATGTGTGAAACAAATGTTTACTGAGCACCTACACCGTGGTGCTTTTTGAAGGACCTCACAGGGAGTCCTGGTGGTGCCATAGCTAAGTACCTAGCTGCGGACCCGAAAGCCAGCAGTCCGAACCCGCCAGGCAGCTCCGTGGAAGAAAAGGCCTGGTAAGCTGCTCCTACAGATTCAGGCTAGGGAACCCTCGGGGCAGTTCTACTGCATCCCGCAGGGTCTCCGTGACCAACAGGAAGGTTCGCCAAGAGAGTCCTCACAGTTTAGAGGCAAATCGTCAAGCCACCCCCGAAGCCTCTGTTGCAAGTAGCCTTGTAAGATGCTATGTCGGGAGAATGTGCAGAATGAGGGTGGGTGACCATTAGGGCATGGGATTTTGTTTGGGGAAGAAGCGACGTTACAAGTCACTTTTGTCTGAGAAACAGTCCTGCAAGATGTGTCTCCCCGCCATCTAGTAGATTCCAACTCATAGACACCCTATGGGACAGCTTAGAACTGCCCCCGAGGGTTTCAGAAACTATAACTCTTTACAGGAATAGGAAGCTTATCTTTCTCCGGAAGAGTGGGGGGTGGTTTCAAACTGCTGACCTTTGGGGTAGCAAACCAATGAGCAGCCCACTCTGCCACCAGAGATTCTATGCAAGATGTACAGACAAGAGGAAATGAGAAAGCAAAGCTAGCCTGGCAGAAGGTCGTGCATTCCAGAAGGTCAGCCAGATGCAGGAAATGAAGGGGCAGCAGCAGGCAGAGCAGAAAAGGAGAGGCTTGGAGAGTGCTGGGAGGGAGCTCACAGGAATTCCAGCAGACCTGATGGCAGGGAGGGTGCTTGTCTGACTTCTGAAGGTGCTCCAGATGACAGGATGGAGGAGGGTAAAAGGATCCCAGGTCAGCAGTGGTGTGATGGTGGCTTGGGCTGGGATGAAGGTCTAAGAGGACAGAAGTGGGTGCCCAAAACTGATTTAGGAAGGCGGGCTGCCCTGATGAACTTGGGCACTCGGAATCCTGAGGGGGCTGAATGACTCCTGGCTGTCACAGTGCACAAAGAAGGGATGAGATGCGGAAGAAACCCCAGAGGAACTGGGTAGTGAGGGAGCCTCTGAGTTTGAGATCTTACAGTTAAAAAGCAGAAACACCAAATTATTACCTGGAACTGGACAGAGGTGGTATTTTTTTTTTAAGTCATCGGCAATCGGGCTCAGATGACAAATTATTTCGCTCAGATTATTTAATATGAAGGACCTTCAAAATGTTCCTGGGGAAATTCTATTTTTTATTCCATTTTTCCATGAATTACTTGAAGCAGCTGCATATTCACCTGCAATAGTATGAGGTGGGGCTTCAAACTGTTCATGGGGAAAAGTGGGATCAAAAGACAATGGTACAGTTCCATGAGCTCGTTTGATGCACTCCTGGACATATCATAAATACAAATTCAAACGCAGCAAGATCGTAAGTGTTCAGATTCCTCACACACAATTGGCCTTGGAATCGGTTTTGCCCCACAGTGATCCTGCAGGACCGAGTAGAAGTATCCCTGTGGGTCTCCGAGTCTGGACGGCTTTTACGGGAATAGGTTTCGAGACCGGAAGTCTTTATGGAAGTGGAAAGATTCTGCTTTTCCCGTTGGATCAGCTGGTGGTTTTGAACTACATGTAACCCCCTACACACCAGGTCTCCACACCATGCAACAGCTTGTAAGTATCAGAGTAACTGAGCATTGTGTATCTGAAAATGTCAAGCAACAGTGTAACTGAGCATCAGTCTTGACAGTTAGCTTTCATAAATGAGGACTGAATGATTCCGTAACAGAGGACAGCTTGTCTTCCTTGCTCACTGCAGTCCAGTCAGCCTGCCCTCTAAGACAGAGCACGACCCAAAGTGGTGTGTAAACATCTAATGAAGAAATGCATCCAGGTAAAGAATAAGTCACACAGCAAAACAGGCAGAGGACGCAAGCAATTTCAGCAGAGGAAACCTACTATTGTACAAGGAAGCATACAAACCGCACATTCAAGATGCTTTTCAAGAGAGTGAAGGAGTGAATATGTAGCCAATGAGGGGCCTTGCAGGGAGTGAATGATTGAATGTGGCTTTTCAAGTCTCCAGCTCCCACCAAAAGGCCTCTCCCTGCATGAGGCTGGTAAGGTGGTGGGGGAGGATATTGATAAGATTCACCTGTCATTTCCAACAGGCCTTATCTGCAGGGGCATCCTGCTGGGTATAACATGAGTTTTTTGAGAACCAGGAAGAGGGACCTCCTTACCAGCAAGAGCCAGTAATGGGCACATCCTCTAGACCCGAGATCCCTGCGCAGTGAACCCCCTGGATCCAGAGGGCAGTGAAGCCATCAGAGGAGCAGCAGCCAAACCCGGAGCCAGAGCACAGAACAGAGTGAAGGACTTCCTGGCCCACAGAGCAAGTAACGCTGAGTGCGGCTGTGCTGGAGGCTGGCTTGGGGAGTCAGGTGCCTCTGGGCACTTAATGGGGCAAGTTGGGCCTGTCGACACACAAAATGGGCCTGAGTGCCTGGGGCTGAGGCTTACTGGAGTGGGTGTCTCCGAGCACTCCGGTCAGTGTGCCGGATTTGCTGATCCAATGAGTTTAAGAGGAAGGACTTCGGGTTGAAGTTTACAGCACAGCAGGATGCCCCTTGGGGCATTTACTAGCAGACCTGAAACTGGTTTTTGTGGGGTTTTTTAACAGTTTTATTGGCAATTCATCCACATAACATACAATTCAATAGTTCAATCATATCAAGAAGAGTTGTACAATCATTACCACAATTTTAGAATAATTTCTTCTTCCTTGTACTCACTGTTTATAAGTGTACTTATTTTTTTAATTGTGGCACAAATATACACAACAAAATATTCTCCAATTCAACAACTTCTACATGTATAATTCGGTGACATTGATTACGCTCATGTTGTACACCCATTGAGATCCCTCTCCAAATCACTTCACACCACTAACATAAACTCAATGCTCCCTCAAAGCAAAATCTCTTCCTCCTTTACCCATGGTAACTAGTGGTCAACGTTGGTTTCTTTTTTCAGTAGTTTTCTTGATATAAAATCCATATAGTCTACATTTCCAGGGATAAGTCGCTTTTTAAAGAGTTGTATATACATCATCACAATCAGTTCTAGTGCTCCTCCCCCCTTTCACATGCATGCATTCATGTTTGCTTCCCAGTTCCCCTACATCTCCCCACCCCCACCCCCCACTTCCCCAACCCTGATAAACCGATAAATCACTGCATCAGTTAGTGTCTCTGTGCATCCACTCCTTCTGTGCTTCATAAACTGGGAAACCTAACAAACAATAAAAAACAAAAACAAAAACAAAATGAAACCAAAATAATAATAATAGCAAGATAAAAATAAAGAGCAGGAAAGAAAAGACCACCAGCAATATTTTTAAAAACCATAGAAGAAATTTTTGTCATAGAACAATATTTAAGCCTAGAACAAATCCAAGTTGGGTCAAATAGGAGGTCAATTGACCAAAATATCATATTATACAGATCTACCACAATCAAGTTTACAATCATCGCTGTCAGATAGTAGAGTTATTTGAGTCCCTCTCCTGTGGCCAGAGGGGATCTGCCAGTGGCTTAGTCTGCCTAGATGCTCTGCAGGTGGATTTTGGGCTCCGCTGTCCTCCAGACCCGTCTACACACTGAGTGTTCACAATTTAAGCTCTGGTGCTTTCCCTTCATCACATTTGGATTTTGTTATGGTCCTCTTTGGATCACACAAGCTGGGGTGCTTCTTCGATCTGGACTTAGGTGACACCTCACTTAGATGGCTGCTTGTCTGAATATAAGCCTTTAAGACCCCAGACACCAGTCCAATTGATAGCCGGGCACCATCTGTGCTGTTCACAATTTGCTGTGGCACCTCTATCTTCAGTGATCTCTTCATAAAGGGGAATAAGAATCAGGGGCATGTTGGCAGAAGTAACTGTTCTCGGGACTAAAATTAAGTGAGGACCCAGAATCCATCTGCTTGCCACAGGTTGTGAGCGTCTCTGGTTTACTTTGGTGGTCACATTATGACAAACACACACCAACAAGAACAAGAATCATTCAAACAAAAATGAAAAACATTTTCAATCCCCTGCCCCGTCGTCCCGGCCCCCGGCCCCCGGCCCCGCCGTGCCGCCCCCTCCCCCAGTGGTATAAGGGGATTGCATTGATGGCATCAGTAATTTCTCCAATGGCATAGAATTTAAGGGACTGTTGAGATGAGTCGTTTATGCTGGTACAATCCACTTTATAGCTACAATCCAGGTGTTGTTGCTTTGTAAAGATTTATTGAGCTCTGTTTACATTGAGCATGGCGGGTTGGTGTTAAGGGAAATTTTCCTGTAACATTCCTTACACGGGCAGATCCTTGCCAATCCGATTAATATCTGTCATATTAATGCAAAGGGAGGATGGAGAAACTTAATATATGGTGGTTCTGTGTCCCCTTTCATTGGACCCCCACTAAGCCAAGACCTGAAACTTTATTTAACACGTCCTACAAAACAACTACCCTTTCGGCATTACAACTTGTTAACTTCCTTAGCAAACTCTTCATCATGAATTTTGTCTGTGAGTTTCTGTTGTAGCCATTGTGATGGATATTAGAATCGAAAGAAATAAACTAGTGAACATTCATTAAGAGATTTGGGGCCTCAAGAAGTTTGTGAAAAAAACCCCATCATCGTTTAGTTCCATTTGCCCACAGACATTTTGAAGGGCCCTAGTAGTTTGTTCTCAGACCCTAATCGTCCCAGGTGCTACATTCTGTTCCCTCAGTGTCTGCTTCATTCTTTTTTTCCATGTTAGTTCCTTTCAGGTATGCTTTTCTTCAGCTTCTAATCTTTGCATAGGCTTTGGAGGAGGTCGAGGGGCAGCACCTGCAGGGCTAAAGCAAGGTGAGGGGGAGGGGTGTTAGGTTCACCCGGGCTCCACACATGACCAGTTCCTGACCACCTTGCTGGGAATGGCACAACACACACAATAAATAAAGTAGAGCTTGGGAAGCATGCCTGCCTCCAGGACACTTTTTTCGGGCATGGCTCTGAGGTCTGTGGCCACCACTACGTTTCTTTACAGACTTCTTTGTGGCCTTGTCTTTGTGCAGGACGCAGACGCAGTATGGGCAGCGGATAGGCTGCACCTGTCACGCCTTTTCTTTGTTATTTTAGAAGTGAGGACGCAAGAGAGAGCTGCTTCATTCAACTACCCTATAGTCCGTCTCTGGAAACACATCCTGACAGCAGACTGAGTCTAGGCGGATAAGAAAGGGAATCGGAGTGCAGGAGACACTTGCTGCAGAAACTATAGTAAAATCTCATCCAGGCTATCAAAACGAGAAGGGTCCGAGGGAACGTCATGTAGAAGAGTAAATTATTTAAATGGCTCTCCTACCCATCTTCTGCAACACCCACCAAAGGACCTCTTCCTGATGGTTCTGGGTGGGAGCAGGTGGGCGGAGGGGGCTAAGACAAGATAGAATTCAGTTATGGGTGCTTGTGACCAGGATTCATTGTCATTGGCACCGTGCTGGGTAGAAAATGAGCCTTCTCAGAAAGGAACGGAATCTTACTACCTGGGCCAGGTGAACTAACAGAGGGATGATCATAACCGCTTCCCGAAACAACATATGCTGACCCACAGCACAGCCACACAGAATTCTGGACACTGGAGTCCTAGGGCCTGAGAAACGCATCCCTCAAACTACCCTCTCTCCTACTTCGTACATTCATTCCTTGAAAAGGAGGTGGTTCTCCCCCATAATTCCACCCCTGGGGTGGGGGGTGTGGAGAGAGAAAGCAAATATCCACCCAAAAACTTGTAGGTGAAACGTTCATAGCAGTAGGTATTACTCATCATAGTCTCAAGGAGGATACAACCCGAAGGTCAACTGATGGATAGGTAAGATGCAGTACGTAAGTAAACACCGGGAAGGAGTACTGCGCCGTAAAATGGAGTGAAAGATATGTGCACATGGATGTGCCTTGAAAACAGCATGCAAATTAAAAACAGCCAGACACAGGTCATAGGGGACCCTACTTACATGAGAAGTGCACACCAGGCAAATCTGTCAGAACAGCATGCACTTCATCATCAGCAACCACCAAAGGCTGGCAAAGGCCATTCTGGTGGGGAGAGGAAGCCCTCCATGAGATGGACTGGCAGGACTGTCACAGCCACGACTCCAGGGTGAGGATGCGCAGGGCCAGGCGACACTTTGTGGCCACTCTAGCATCTAACAGCAACATAACGAGGACAGAGTACACTGGCAATTCCCAGGGGGGAGGGGTGCCAAGTTAGCTGGTGGGGCAGTAAGGAAGACTGCCAGTGGGCTCAAGGTTTCTTCCTGGGGTGATAGACATGATGGTGGGGGCAGACAGACACACAATTCTGTGCATATCTTAGAGCCCACTAGATTGTGTACTTCAAGTAAATGCATTGTCTAGTACGTAAGTTACATATCAGTGAAGGTGTTATTAAAGCGAGGCATCTTGTGAGCACCTTAGGGATTGGGCAAGTTACTGAAAACACAAAGGAGTAAGAAAGTTTTTAAAAGGACACTGGACTCGCCCTCAGGGTGCTAACGTTCTGTTAGGAGAGAAAATTCATTCAAGAGACAAAGACCAAAGTCCAAACGTACCACCATCAAATCTATGCAGACTCACAGGGCCCCACAAGACACAGTAGAACTGCCCTTGTGGATTTCCGAGACGAACTCTAGCGGATTCACAAATAATATCCAGTCTGGCCACCTAAGATTAAGAGGTACCCAGAAGAACTCAATTTACCACTTAACCCAAGAAACTCCTTTAAAAGAAAAACTATTCAGCGTCTACTTTCTTTTTCATTCTTGTAAAATGGTTAGCGGTTGGCTGTTTAGAGCATTTGGACACATACAATGTTTTTAACTGTTGAAAAGCCACTGATTCAAGTCTTTGGGTCAAAAGGACCAAGGTTCCCATTTAAATGTTAACAAAGTTGTGTAAAAGAGCGCGTGCAAACTTTTCTTACCACCTTCAATTGGGAGGAAAACTTGAGCGACGAAGACAAAGGTTTAGAATCGAGCACTGCATTGTAAAAGCGCACTTTTCAGAATTACAGTCACTGGTTTTTCAGCCACAACACTCGGAAATTGGATTACTGATGACCGTTGCCATAGAAACAGTGAAGCCAAACTCCTCCCGGTTAGATACAAATAATACTGTAAACGCAGTAGGTGAAAGAGGACCACATTTGGCGAGAACGTCGTAGGTGGACCGCACCTGCCAGAAGAAAGTTTCCCAGGAATAAGGATGCAACTTTTAACACACTTTTTCCAAAGCAATCCTGGATAAATCGCCTCGTGGGAGTAGTTTACCACGTGCTAACAGCGTTTGCTCCCTCTTCTCCGGGGAGGAGGGACGTGTCTAGCTTGCCCAGGGTATCACGCATAACCAAAGCCAGCTGCGTGCGGCGCGCGCCAGCCTCCTCCCGACCCACCCAGCCCCCCTCGCTAGGCGTTCCGACTGGCACGGCCCCGCGGCGACCCCAGCTCCAGCCCGAGTCCCCCCACACACACCCCGGGCGCTGCCTCTGCATTCCACGCGCCCCGACGGCACTCGCATCTAGGAAGCACCCCGCATCTGCTCCACACACGCAGGGGCTCAGGAACCCCACGGCGTCGAAGCCGAGGTTGGCGGGGTGGTCGGCAGGGGCGTCGGGCCGCACCCGCAGGTGAGGACAGTCCCAGCGGCGTGGCGGGGAGAAGGAAAGGCGTCGG